CCCCCAGGCTCCCCACGAGCTCGAAGGGACGTCACCCTGATGACCGCCCCGAGAAAAGACACGGTGTGGATACCCAGACATTGTTGATAGAACAAGAGGACTCACCAGAAAAAAAGCTAAGCCAAAAGGACAGTGTGAACAGGAGAAGAGCTTGAGCAACTAGGCAAAGGCGCGACCTCAAATCCGAAAGCAAAGCAAGTTGGCTTTAAAGAAATGAGGCCTGGGGCCCTCCTATTTATAGCCACTGTGCCCACAAACCAACGACTCAGATTAAGGCGAATCCGATGGCCCACAATCCAATTGACCGCACGTTTTCTGAGACTGAAATATGACTAGCTGCATGTCTTCCAGGATTACGGTAATGCTGGCCGCACGTCTTCCGAAACTAAAAGTCGTTTGGCGTGCTTTTTGGCGACCGAAAAGTCTAGAAATCGCTTGACATCCGCGTGTGTATTTAATGCGATCAGTCAACACAGTTTGAATTTTGGGTCAAATCCACCCGTCACTCCATAAACTCCCCGCGCTAATGTAAGACCCTTAGCCCGAGGAGTGGGGGGCAATTGATGGAGGGTGATTTGACCCAACCCCCTAAAAGGGTGACACGTGGACATGACTCGACATAGGTGATAGCTTAGCATGATAGCATGGCTACAACTTGGTGTAACGAGCTCGCTAAAGCTATCGCAGGGCAGCTCGCTACATGCTAGCTCCCCAAGGAACCAGCTCGCTGCATAATAGCTCGCCTAGGAACCAACTTGCTACGGCGCGAGCTCAAGTACCCCGGTATGCTGAAAGGGAACACTCCAAGCTAAGTCTATCCCAACTCGCGAGCTATAATAATAAGCTCGCTCCAATCCTTAGACAAAAGGATGGCCTTAAAGGCAACCTCAGGCGGAATCACCTCGAGATACCTCCGGGAGCTTGTTACAAAGCAGCTCGCTAATGAGATGTCTCACTGTGAAGCAGTTCGCTATTGAGCGACAAAGCGTTTTCAGGAAGCTTCTTATCTGACAAGACCGTATCCGCCAAAGTGCACCACGACCCCTGACCGACGGCGCAGTCCCTGCCAGCACAGTAGATTGTACCCACGTCTCTCGACAGGTGGCGGCGTGTCTGTCCTCTTCGGGTCGTGTCTCTCATCTGATTGGGTAGTACTCTGCAACGGTTACTTGCGTAGCCCTGACAATAAACGGCTGCGACAGGGGGCCAGAGGTGGTTACGCCCGATTTGGCAAGAACACTAGTATTTAAAGGTCCCGATTCCCAAGGGGTAAAGGGAATCTTAATCGAACTTGACTTGAATTGATCTAGCGCTATCTGCACTCTTAGTTCTCTTTGCATTCTCTATAGCTCTTTCAGAGTTCTAATTTAAGCATCGGAGTATTCCCATTAGGCGAGCTCTCCGATAATCCTTCATCTTCTTCTCCTTCTTAGGTGTTGTTTGTTGCCAGAGAGGAGCGAAGCCCCCACCAGCTAGGAGTGACCGGATCGCGCTGCATCAGTATCGATACTTTGAACTATGCCTATCACTGTTAAACACACAAGTATTCAGTACAACTGTCTACAGTGAACACTGGCATCAACCGTAATAGGTAGTTCAGCCGGATGTGTATGATTTTGTCTCCAGCTCATCCGGACTGATACATGAGGCTCATGTGGGTTCACTCTTGATATATTTCTGCCTAGTTTAGTGTGCATGATTACGTCTTTGGCCAATCTCGACATCAATGCTAAATTCGTACACGTTCACTTAATTATCTCCCTTTCAATTTCAACCATTTTAGTTGTGATAAAAAGAAAGGTGAGCTATACAATACGGGGTAGTTCTCCACAAACAATAACTTGAAACAAAGAAAAGAAAAAAACTAATCTGCATAAGAATTTAAGGGGGTGTTGGTTTTTTGGATTTTGAGAGGGGAGAAAGTTGGTCAATGGGATTTTGAGAGGGGGGAAAGTTGACCAAGAAACCCATGTTCATTTTTCAAATTTATGTGGTGATCACTAAAAGTTTATTTTCCTGTGTAGCACTTACCCGGGTAAGTGATGCCCATCTCCTAGGTGGGTAAATTAACTTTCCCATCTAGAGGAAGTTGCCAATACTTGGATATGGGACAAAAATGCCCCTTTTAATAATAGAATTTTTATGATTAAAATGGTCATTGCCTTATTTAAATGGGAAATAAAAGAACATAGATAAATGCACTTACCTGGATAAGTGACTTATCGAAAAGCAAACAGGGCATAAAGGATAAATAAGACCTAAATTATTTATAAATCCACAGCAGAATTTGCCTCTCTAAGCATACAGGAGAATTGAATGTAAGGATTTCCACCTGTTATATGGCTGAAAAGCAATCACAGGTGATGCTCTACGGGGTGATCCAAGCTTTTAGGTTATTGATAACCAACTTCGGATCTCCTTGAATGATGACAGTCCTTTGAGAGAAATTCTTCGCTAGCTTTACAAAGGCTGCCCAAGCCTCCATTACATTGATCAAATTAATAAGAGCTTTACTAAGGGTGAGAAAGACACAACCTGCCACATCTCTAGCCACACAATGAATTGCACATGCATGCACCATTATTTTTATGAGATGCATCAAAGTTTTTTTTAATGTAACTTTCAAGGAGGTTCCCATTTTATTCACATCATATATATATATATATATATATATATATATATATATATATATATATATATATATATATATATATTCTTTTCCATTTCTCTTCCCATTCAGATCTAAAAACTCCTTTGCCTCCATTCGAATAAGCACTTATTTGTGATGCCCAATTTTGCGTGCTTTTTTTAGTACTTATAATAAATGCTTATTTCCTTTTTGGCCTATCTTGGCCTGCCATGTAATTTTGAAAAAAGTGAACTAGGATCTGCTTCTCGCACCGACCTCACACGCACATCTCAACATGCATTGGAAACATATCCCGTGAATAACTCTCTGTGTAAGGAGCAGATCCGGTCTCGAAAAAAATACATATACTACCCCTATGCTTTTTCACTAAACGCTCTCTTATTAAAATAAACACTTATTTTTCAAATAAGCACTCCCAAACTTAACCTAAAGCCAATATCTAGTCTTCACCATCTGAGGATCAAGTTATTACTCAAAATTGGTTTGGCATCTGGGTTAGAAAGTAGATCCCAAATTTGCTTTGAAAAGTCATACCAAATAAAAATATGATTTGAATCTTCCCTTTCACCGTAGAAGCAACAATCCTCATTGATCCCACCTTCTCCCTCCTAGAAAAGCTTTTGATTGAATTCTGTTTCTAAGAAGTAGAAAAAGAAAAGGGCCACTAAAACACTTCTATAGTTTAATGGGTTTATCAAAACCTACCCTATAGTTTGTATTTTACTAAAACACATCTAAAATAGTACCTTGCAACTCATTTACTTAACCATGCATTAGATTGAAGTGGAAAATAACAGTTTTGTCCTTAGTATCTATTGGGACCAATTTAATATAGAGGAAATAAAAATGCAAATATCATTCTTATCCCTAGTAAAACATGGGCAGTAGCTCTTTTTGATCAATTTTCTTCTCTATTTAAAGAAGGCATGGTGTTGCAAACTCATAACTTGGGATCGATGTAGTGTGGCAGATCAAACATTGTGTGGCAAACTCTTTTCACTTGAAAGTTACTAACATCTTGTAACATCTTGAGTTAGAGAAGCATGCATCCCTCAAGAGGAACCATAAGCAACACATCAAGCAGTAATATCAAATTCTTTCATTTATTGTCCCCATTGACTTGTATGCCCTCTATAACACCGTATTGGCTAATAGATCTTCAAAGCTCATTATTTTATTAGCAAATTGCATGCCAATATGGAAAAATGGTTGTGCATACCTGCATCACCATTTGTAGAGCCGCATCTCCTCCAATCAGTTACTCCCTGGGGATTCTCATAATTGAGCCTATTTACTTCTCGATTTGGGAAGGAGTCGGGATCTCCTGCACTCCCTTTGGTGTGAGTCGGGATCTCCTGTTTTACACGTTACTTGTCTACAACAGTCACGTCTCATATGGGTGAAGTCATTAAACGGCTGATTGCCCCTCCCATTATATTTTTTATTTATTTAATATAAAAATTGAAAAAAATTTAAAAATAGATTTGGTTGATCAATTCGAAAAGAGGATAAAAGAAATAGGAAAAAACATTGAAGAAGAAATAATTACGGTTTTATTTTCAATGGGTTTTCCTGTTTCTTTTATACTCTTTATCGAATTGATCAACCAAATCTATTTTTAAAATTCTTTTTAATTTTTATATTAAATAAATAAAAATATAACAGGGGGAGGGGTAGGGGCAATCAGCCGTTTAATGATTTTACCCATATGAGACGTAATTGTTATAGATAAGTAACGTGTAAAATAATAAATGGAAGAGTAACCATCTCACACCAAGGGAGTAAAGAAGGCTTGCGGTGTCCACCATTCACATACGTGGCTTTTTTAAATTTAGATACATGTCATTTTCTAAGAAGTTGTTGTTAAAGTTCAATATCACATTATCAACATTCAGATAAGTAGTATTCTCATTTTTTAGAAAGTTAAATACATAGAAATTTCTAAGAAATTCACATTAAAGCCTACAACCCGCTACAATCCCCCACCATTCAGATGCATGGCCTTTTCATTTTATTGGAAAACTAGACACATAATATTTTCTGAAAAATTACTCCTAAAGCATATAATCCATTATTATTATTTTTAATTCATTCTTAAAAAATGAAAAAAATGCAAAAGTGGTCGTAGACAATCATTTCTGCCTACCTTCTATCAATCTTAATTAATCAATAATTCTCAATTTATAATAACAAAATAAAATTATCCTTATCCTAATAATTATTGAAAAACTATTTTTTAAAATAAATATTTATTAAAATTTTAATAATTACTTGCTCTCCGTACGAGTCATTCACTAGTTTGTATTTACACTAAAACCGCTGATCCGAAACGCCAAATCCAACGTTCGGCATTCGGTTCCTCTTTCCCTGTGGCGCGGGGTTTTCCACATGGTCAGCATTCTCTCTCAGAAACAAAAAGATGGCAGAAAAAATTGAAGAGAAGTTCCATGTTGCATTTCTCACGAGTTCTTCAGGGCAGCTTCGAAGTAGCAGTTATACACGCCTATGGTGGCGCTCGGATTTTCAGGGAGTTACGCGAGAAGATGGCGAGTCAGGTTTCTACCACGATCAGTCAGATGAATTCACAGCTGGCCGTCGTGTATCTTCGTATCCTCCGGTGTACGAAGGGGACGAATGTTTTACTTTCTCCGAAATTTTGGACGCAGTTGATGACCTCAGCTCCCGTCTCCGTCACATATTGGATGGCGGTGACGATCCGAACTTGGTTAGACCAAAAGGTTAGGGTTTTCCGTATGTTCTTTTGCTTTTTTGTATTATTGACTGGTTTAATGCCCTTTTTTACTGCTTTCATTCTGCATGATGAACATGGTGTGGACCGTCTGGCTAATAATAGAGTCTCTGAGGAAAAGTGAAACTATTTAATTACGAACAACTTGGAAGTTGGAAGGTTCCAATCATTTAATAAATGACCAAATCGTTTAGAGCTTCAGAGTTCAGATGAAACTTGGCTAATCAATAGACATCCCTGCCCTTTGAAGTCAGGTTTTGCCACTCTTATCAGTTATGCCTTGCGGAGAAGTATACTTGAATTGCAATTACCATATCGTTTAAAGCTTCAGATGAAGTCTTGCTTGACTGCTTGGATATGGTACTACTAGTAAGACCTGAGCGATGCCCGGAATGGCGTTCACACTTCAAAGATGCCCATGTTCCATAAGAGACTTGTTAGATTCAGTTTTCTTGGTCGTGGTGAGATTAAATACCTCCATGTTTTATGCTTTCTTATTTTCCCAAAAGTTTAAAAGAAAAAAAAAAAAACACAGGTGGAGGAGAGAGATTGTGCACCTAACCACTTCATTTTTATTTCAGCCAAAACTAAAATCTTTTACTAATGGATAATAAGTTGAAAAGTACAACTTCTTGAAACTGATAACCCAGATTGAGATTTTTGTGTAACAAGGAGTTTTTGGATCCTAACATATAAAATAGATAATGTTAGACAGTTGTATGCCCTTAGTTCCAATCAGAATGATATACATTATGACATTTATTATAAATGAATAAAATATATATTTGATTCATGTTCCTGTGGTGTGTTTCTGTGTAATACCTTTAAACTGGACACTTATGAGACTCGTGTTAGTTTAGAATGTTCACAACCGTTAGATAAGTCTGGGGAGATTTATCCTGTCAAGGCTGACACTGGTGTGGTGCCAAATGTTAGGGTAGCCTGTCTCAGCCATCAGGGTGAGAACCAAGGCACATGCAGTGTAGGATTACTTAAATTTTTGAACCGGATCAGATTTTTAGTATTGCCCTGGACTTTGGAGATTGATGGACAAAATTGGAAAGTTACACCTGACCCCTAGACTCGATTATGATACTGCACTAGGTGTCAGATTGGGCTGTCTTTGATATGCCAATCAGTGAGATCCTTAGCGGGGGTCAAAAACTGAGTATGTTGGAACAGTCCGAGAATTCATCTCAGTGGGTGATCATAGTGACGGGATCAGCCCCTTTGTCGGACAAAGGTAATGATCGGGGATGCACTATCTCTGATGGAAACCAAGACTGTTGACAGCCGATTTCAATCGTTGAAATTTTGTTTTGCAAAATATATTTATATACTGATATATATTTGCAAAAGGTTTTAATTCCCGGGATCCATGTGAGCAGAGAGTGCAGCACTAACCCTTGCAGCCGAGGGAGAGGTCATCTCTTGTCGGGCAGTGTTTGATCATTATGGGCTGAGAGGTTAAGTGTAAGGACATTGAGGGTTATGCCTGATGGGCTAATCTTACATCTGCCTACAGTCCCTGGGTGTTACAAGGTGGCTTGGCCCAGGGACCACTTAGTGTAAGTGTTGGGCTCATTAGGAGCCCATGTGATGGGTTTCAATGGGTGCACTGCCCATAACAATGTATTCGGTCAGGCCTTGTAATAAAGGCTGGACCGAACCCATGTGGCTGATGTGTAGATCAATGTTTGGGTTTCACGCCATACAAGGAAGCCCAACTGAGCAGTAGTTTGGAAAGCTAAGTGAGCACATATACTTATTGGGCCTAAAGCTCATTTCAAACTAGGCTGATTTGATCAGTTAAATAAGGGGGCGAATCTGAGATTAAATCAACAGATAGGATAGGGTCTTATCTTTATCCACTCAGAGAGTCCAATATCTAAATAAGATTTAGATATGGAAACCTCCTGATAAGATTAGGAGATGGCTGATCTAATCTGTAGATAAGATAAGGGTTTATCCTTATCACTTAAAGGGAATTCTGATCCAAATATGATTTGGATCAGCAACTCCTAATGGGATTAAGAGCTGATCCCTTTAAGGTTATAAAAGGAGGAAGGGGCAGCAGCCTCTGGAAGATATCAGACATTCACATTCTCACCTCCAGAGAAAATATTACAGAAGAGAAAAATCAGCTTCCATTGAGACTGCGCTAATTTCTCCCTATCGCCTCCTTTCTGCCGCTGCCATTGCCAATGCATCTCCACCAAAGTAGGAGAAATCAAGAACGGTTCTTGACATCAGTTCTTTGTGAAAAGGCTGATTGGAAGTCGTGCTCACGTGCTGTCCAGCTGATTCTTGCGAAGGATCTAGTTCTTTGGAAAAATGTTGCTGCTTCTGCTCCATCCCACACTGCGCCATATTCAATGGGAGCAGTCTTTGGTTCCTTCCTTGGGCGTGAACACTTTCATTGGGAGATATTGTTTCTCCGTATCAGGTACATCCCTCTCCTACTGTTTTGTTCAGATCTGATTCGGTTTTTGGTTCAAGATTGATCCTTAAAAAATAAGATTTTTTTGAAATAGGAAATACGATTCCTAGTAGGAAGGAGATAAATTTTTGAAATTCGTCCATTCTATTCCGCAAGATTCGGGCGTCCATACGATGGATCTCTCATCCCTTCAGATAAATGATCAAATTTCATAATAGAAAGCAACCCGGCATCATCAAGTGCTGAGCTACTCTGCCGAGGACATGGATTACCCAGATTTGTCAAACAACTAATAACAGATAAACAATTACTCATCACACATATTGACTTGTGTTTGAGCCTTAGCAAACCGAAAAGCTTTATGAATAGTGATGGCTTCCACATATTCCACATCAATGGGGATGTGTAAGGGTTGGCAGAAGTTTAGGTCTATTTTATTGGGGAGTGAGGAGTTTGCTAGCAGGCCTTTGGAGCTTTTGAAGGGAGAAGGAAGGGAGAAGGAAGAGAGAATGAAGAGGACCATAATAGGGGAAGGAGGAGAGGCATGGAATGAGGAAGATGACAAGCAAGATGAAATGTTTGAAGATGACTAGCTGCTCTTGAGCTGGGGAGGTTTCTTATGATTTCCTCTTCCGTGTTTGTGTTCCTTATTGTCTTTTGTAGCTGGATTGGGTGTTATCTTAACACCTCAGTGATGTTTGTAATCAATTTTCATTTTTTTTAATGGAATTTTCTCTGTACTTTTCAACAAAAATGACTTTGAGTCTCAACTAATGTCCACCCTTCATCAAATGCATTTCTCATTTTTGTTCATTTTCAATAAACTTATTTACACTTTTCCAGGTCTCTTGAACTGCTTTTTATGCAAGAATTGTTTACCTTACTTGGTGGTGAAGTTTTACTGTTCAGGACTTCAGTCAGTTTTATTGACCATATACAAGAATTTCTTAGTGCCATTCTTAATTCAACCCCATTGGTCTTGCCTCCTTTTGAAGAGTTTCAGGCGAATCCATATTATATTGTTAACTTTCTAAAGGTAGGCATTTGTATATTTTGTTATCACAATTCCTTGTTTACACTTCCTTATAGCTAAAATATGCCACAAGTTGATGTTCCAAAAGCAAAAAGAGCAAATTTAGTATTGAATTTTGTTTGATGCTACTTCCTTGATTTCATTAATGAAGATAAAGACCTTATTTAGGAATTATCTATGTCAAGTATAACTTATTTATCTATACTTTAGTCCCTTCAACAATGATTTTTTTTTTGTGAAGTTAATGAAAATTTATAGAGAATATCTTAAAAAAAAATTTAGACATTGCAAATGTTTTGTGAACTGTTGGAAATGGGAGAAAGAGGAAAAACTCGATGCTTAAATTGGAATGGAATGGGCAAGTATTGACAAGAAATATCGTTTCTAGCGGCAGTTTTCTAAATGGAAAAAAGGTAACTGCCTCTAGAAAAATTGCACGAATTTAATAGGAAATTTTCCCTGTGCCTCTTCCTCTTCTCATTTCTTTCTTTTTCCCTCCCTCTTTGTTTCTCTCCTCTCTCTGTCATCTCTTTATCTCTCTTAGTCGAACTTCACACTATCGACTTCTCTCTGTCTCGCTTTCTCTCTATAATCGGTCTCACACTTGATTTTTTATTTTTTATTTTTTGATAAATGATTGATATCTTATTCAAAAGAAGCAATATGATATTACAATACAGACTGCCCAAGGAGAGTCACAAGTTGGTACCTCTCCTCGACAACAACAATGTACTACATCAGACTAGGAAATGGGAGTTTACAGAGCTGCCCAAAATAAATGTTCCCTTGGTACCCCTTGCTTAGCTAACCCATCCGCTATGGTATTAGCTGTTCTATCCACCCACTGACAATTAACAGTCATGTTCCTTGAAAACCTATAGCACCAAATAACTGAAACTGGATTTTTTAACCAACCCACAATAACTTTGGAGTCTCCTTCAATAAGCAAATTCTAAACTCCTAACTGGTCTGCAATCTGAATACCTTGTACTGCCGCTAGAAGTTCAGCTCTAATAGAGTCTCCTATACCCACGAAGCCTGAGAATAAAGCTAAGATATTACTATCTTTATCTCTCAGCACCCCTCCTATCCCTGATGGACCTGGATTTCCTTGGTTGCTACCATCAGAATTCAGCTTTGTCTAGCCTTCAAAATTCAGCTCACGCTTGATTTTCTCTTTATTCTCTTTTGACGACACCCACCGGCGATGACAAGCACAGGTATATCTTCAACCTAGGCTTCATTGCAGGTTTGTCACCGTCTCACTAGTTGTTTTGTAGATTTCTACTTCAGTTGCCTTTAGTATCTAAATCTCCTTTCTCATCATCATCATGAGAAAATTATTTTCTGCCTTCTATGAATCTTCATATGTCCATAATTTTCAAGCTACTGGTTGTATATGTCAACATCCTAAGAATCTTCTGACTTCTGCTTGAAATTATTCTCCATTGGTTAATCGGTTTCATCTATGAAATCTAGCTATTGTGTCTAGTAACAAATCTACCTCTTGACCTAAATTTCCCCATTTTACAGGAAGTGGTATTCTATGAGGATGGTGAACCTATAATAGATGGAAAATCTTGAGATCTGAAGGTTTGAATCTTCCCTTGTTTCTGTTTGTAACATATGGAAATAGACTATGTACTTATAGTAGCTTCTGTCTTCTGAGCAGTTCCACATTTGTACTACACCACATGAGCGATTCAGAAAGGAAGGCAATGATCGTTACAATAACACTGGTAAACAATTTTACTTTTTATGTTTTTTTTTTTTTTCATTGGCTTCATTCTCAGTCCATTCCGTATGGTTATTGCTGGTTAAAATATTTGTAGGGAGCAGGATAAACAACATTATGATTTCCTTTTTCAAGCTTCTAGATTTTTTACATTTTACGTGTGGTGATGATTTTTTGCTGGTAGGCAGCATCATCTTAATGCCCATGGGGCCCTAACCCATGGTTGTCCTGCTGACATACTCATCAGATAGACACTCTATCTAAATGTTTTTCTTTTCATGTTTTCTGTTTTGGCCTTCAAGGAATTACTAAACCTAAAGAAGTGATGAAATTCAAAGGCCAAGGAATGCCGTTGCATCTTAGCACAAAGAAAGGAGATCTATATGTGACCTTCGAGGTTCTGTTCCCTAGTTCCTTAATAGAAGACCAGAAAACCAAGATCAAGGCGGCCCTTGGTTAAGTTTGGGAATCCCTTTTTTGTTCCAATATGTCTTGATTGTACCATGATGAGATCAAATGGAAGGTGCAAGCTGTCGTAGGGATAAAGATGCTCATTATATAATTCCTTGAAGTTCCTGATACCAACAGGGCTGTTTTCCATTGCATTATTTTTTCTCACAATATATATGTTTCATTTTTGCTCTAATATAATATTCTAACATGAAAGTACATTGAGGAAAGTAAACTTAGCTTTGCCTTAGGACTGTACCTTCTACTTGTGCTTTGCATTGAGAATGAACATGATTTCACGGTGAGGTTGTTGTAAATGTCTCCTACTAATGACCCAAGACAAATATTAAGTACTGTAGGTCTAATGTTGAACCAATTTGTTCCCTTACCCTCCCTCGTTGATGCTATTATTCTTGTTAGATGGTTCTTTTGTTATTGGTGCTCCAAAGGCTGTTATGACATTTATCTAGGTTAATGATCAGAAGTGAAATATATTCCTTTTTATACGAGGTAATCCCGACTTGGTTAATGACATCAGAAAGCTTTCTGGTTATTAGATCTAATATTTATGGGTTTTAGTGAGTCTAATGCACGATTGATGACCTTGGACATATGGGGTAGGGCAAATGACTTGAATGTTTTCAAAATTGATGAATTAATAGTTTCAAAACCACACTAATATGTCCTTTCTTTTTGAAACTATATTTCCTTTGATGAACTTTATTAAAATTGTTGTTTGAAACACTCAGGGGGCATTTCTTCATTGAATCTTCTAGTATCTTTGTAGTAGTCATATATCATGTAGTTGTCTCTAACGCACTCCATCAACTAATGGTTTCAAAACCACACTAATTTTTATTTTAGTGACTTTAGTCCATTTTCCTATGAAGGCACAATAATCAATAAAGAATCAAACTCCCATCAACTAATGGAACCCTACCACAAAATAAACACAACAAGTGTTAAGTTGCAAAGGTGCTGTAAAAATTGATCTTTTGAAAGTGCTATACAAGATAGGTTTAGGCTTTCTCAAGAATTGCTATACAAGAGTGGAAAAATGGTACTTTCTCAAGAATTGCTAGGACAAAGTGGGTTCATCTAGGATCATACAAGATAGGTTCAGGCTTCTAGCTAGACTTAATTACTATGTCTATAACTAGGACAAACCTACAGGTTAGGTTCAGTGAACTTAACACTTGGATAGTAGCTATGTCTGAAACAAAATATGTAACCATAGCTTTACTGTACTTAATAAGGGTCATTATCTAGTTTGTTATGTTATGTTCATAAGAAATTTTGTTGAAAAAGAAAAGAATATTAACAGTGAAAAAAAAATAAAAAAACCAGATAGGGAGTGGAGATACGGTCATTTTTTTGATAGATGGAGTGGAGATACAACCATTGCCATTACTTTAACCACCAAAACTATGTTCCAACAATCTGGTTATGGCGGTGAAGAGAATCCTACCAAGCTTTTGTGAGTTTTGAATTATTGATGCAAATTGAAAAAGAGCCAAAGAAACTTTGTGGTTTGGTCTCCAAGCTTCAGTGGAATAGAAAGTAGTGAGGTGTTAGTGGCCGAACAGATTCAGTAGAACAAAAGCTCTATGTATTGGTGTCCAACTTTTAGGGGGTAGATCAATGATTGGGAGATCAGAGGGGGGCTAGAGATAGAGTGTTCCAAGTAGATTTAATGCTATTGTTCAATTGCTAACATGTTTGTAGGAAAGGGATAATATGGAATTTAAAATATTAGAGAAACATTTAGTGTCGATAAAAAATAATTCCATGGCAATGGTTCAAGGTACAAGTTAAGGTATAGAGGTTGAAGCATATATTCACCTCCTCAAGGGATCAATTTTTATTTATTTATTTTCTTTTAATTTTAAAGTTTCTAAATATTGATGATGGGCTTCACTATGGTGCCACACGGGTTTATCAACTATCAATTGCAGCAACATGCTTCCAAGATTAGCCAAGAAACCGAATGCTTGTACAAGTCCTTGATGACTCTGATGATTTGGATGTCTATCTCCTCCTCATCAAGAATGAAGTACAGAAATGGCAACAGAAGGTTGTGAGGATCGTATATAGACACTGACTTATTCGAAGGCTATAAGGGAAGGGAACCTGAAATCTACAATGAGCTGTGATTATGGGTTTGTTGCAATTTTTGATGCTGATTTTCAACCAGGATCAGATTATTTCAAGAAAACAATTCCCTATTTCAAGGTAAGCTAATATTGCACTCCTTTGCACAAAGAGTTCAACCGGCATGGTTACTTGTATTGGATAAATTATTTAGGTATGCTTTGCAAAAATCCTTGAATATTCTTGAAATTCAAGTGTCACCTTTTTTTTCTTATCAATAACGGTGAATCGAATTAAGATTATGAAAATTACAAAGCAAGGGAGCTAAACAATCTTAACTCCCGAGTACAACCAGTGAACACCAAAAGTAAAGCAATTACAACACGACCCAAAAAATAGAGTTTCTATTCACCCCTCGCCTAGCTAGACCATCTGCCAATGTGTTTGCACTTCTCTTTATTTCAATGTCCTTAGTCAGCCACTTAAATTTTCTCTTTTCATTGCTGTAATTCCAGAGCCTAGAGTTATCCTCTTTTAGCCAGTTCACCATAACTTTAGAATTTCCTTCTATGAACAACTTATTAATACACATGTCCTTGACCTTTTGTACCCCTTCAAGAGCTGCTAGTATCTTAGCCCTCAAGAAATCTTCCACCCCTATTGATCCAGCAAACATAGCTAACTGATTCCCTTTTTCATCTCTTATTGTTCCCCCTATTCCAGATGGCCCTGGATTACCCATATTGCTGCCATCAAAATTCAGTTTAGTAAAACCGTGAGGTAGAGGAATCCAACAAGAGCTTGAGGCCTTCTTAGCTGAAGCTAATTCTGCGATCTCCTTTCAGTTTCTTAGCAATTCATCAATTGAGAATTCTACAAACAGGGCCAAAGTTTTAAACCAATATATCACTCTAATATGGATGACCTCCAAAGTTACTTCCAAGCTTCTCTCCTTTTTTGAAAAAAAATCCGTGAATTTCTCCTCCTAAACAGTCCAATAAACTGCAGCCCTAATACATTTCCACATAATCTTAACCCTTTTTGTTGGTCAGTTCAGCATGGAAGTGAATAAGCTTTGCACATTCAAAGGGCGGGGGAGGGTCCACCTGCACCCAAACAAATAAGTAAACCATTCCCAAATGACTTTAGTAAATTGACAGTAAATTAGTAAATGATATCTACACTCACCATTAACTTTACAGAGGGCACACCAGTGGAGAGACAAACAACTATTGGGTCTTTTTCTGTTGGAAATCCAAGTGTCACCTTGCCAACTCTCAGATTGTAATATTTTGTTTAATTGCAGATATAGTATCAGAATATGGTTTTTAATCCAATTTTCAAATCATTCTAAAATTGAAACTCATAATTTGATTACAGATTTGAATGACATGACTTCAGTCATCTGACTTGATATTGAAACTCGAGAACATAGGTTCTAAAGGATGGTTGTCATCTCCTAAGCCAATTTTTATGCCATTTCATGAGATATAGAATAATATATCAGAATGGTTGGTCAATACAAATTTTATGAGAATATATTTTTTTACCACAAATGCTTTGAGTTTTCAATACAACATTGGTTATCATTGTTGCTTTTCAGGAAACTTCAAATTTGGTGTTTCTACTATAAATGTTGATGCCTAGTCAAGTGACTAGTTTTTTTAGTCGTAGTGGTTATGTGATGTGATGAGATAGATGATTTCTATCAATACAAAATGTTGCTAAGTATAAGTGGCAATGGTACCAAACACAAGCAAAATGTGTTGAAAAAGGAATGATGATTGTACCATGATTCTTAACCTGCCTTCCTCCCTTTTGAAAATCGAGAGACACATTTTGGTGTCCCAAGCCGAGAGCCTCCACCGTAGTATCAAGGCTACCATCATTGTCTTGGCTGCGACCAAAGAGGAAATTTGAGAAGACGTCCAACATGATGTTATATCGATATTATAGCTGCCGGTTAGTCTATGTGTAGAGAACGGTGAGAAGAAAGAAAAATGAAGGAAATTAGAAAAGAAAAAAAAAAGAATTCTTTGTATGACTTCTGAATTAGGCTTTGTTTCTCAAGGCAACATGTGCATCCAAATTTGAAAGCTTAAAAGATATAATAAGATCCTCTAATGCGTACTCTTAATAGTTAATCTTCAATTGATTGACATCAACCTGCAAATTTAGGGCGTGTTCTACAATGTTGTTGTTGGTTCAAAAAAACAAATCAAAATCAACTTGTTTGAAACTAGATTGTTTCTTAAAACAAAAACTTCAAAAACATGTTCTCAATCGTGTGTGTTTTTTGTTTTCAAAGCTGAAATCAAAAATATGTTTTTTGATTAAATCATACAAGTCCTGTACTAAATAAATTGTTTTTGTTTTAAAAATCAATATTTTGTTGGTTTCAAAAACCTATACTGTTTTTTAAAACAAAACCAAATTGTTTTTTCCTTCTAAAACAAAAACAGAGTTCAAGAACATGTTCTTGTTTTTAGCTGATATGGTGATTTCAAGAACAAATGAAAATAAAAGCATTCATGTTGTAGAACTCCCCCTCAATTGATGAGTTCAAGACTAAGTAATAGTTGCACCAAACGTCTTTTTCAGTTGAGAAATCTTCCATTGAAACAAACAATCTGATTTTTACTTTGTTCAAAATAAATGAATCCCACTTCTCAGACTGGAGCAAAACTGGAGATATCGTTGTATAATTGTCTACTATTGTTCCTCCATTGGTGCTTTGATTGTGAGGTGGTGTTTTAAATCACCCACTTACTGACGATTCAAAGATGCAGGTAACCAGAAATTCAGAAGGGGAAATTTCTTAGATTTTCAGATTTTCGCAAGCTTTTCTAAACAGCCGAAGTTAAATATAGATGATTATTGCCACTATCTTTTCATATAGCTTTGCATTAGAAAGACCTTTGTTTTTCATTGAAATTCTGGAAAGTTAGAAAAGTTGTTTTAATTCCTTTCGTGCTTTATTTTCTTATACTTCTCGTTGCTTTTGGCTCTAGAAGCTCTTGGCTTTTAAACTAATTCAAAGCTTCAAGATCCGTCCTCTTTTATTTATAAATGTACATGTATATACATCTATTATATATACAAAGATGTATATAATTAGAAAAAAGATATTTTATATAAACATAATGGGCTTGGATTGGGTCCACCTAAATTGCAGCTTTAGGTGTGACCAAATTATTACACATGTTCTGAATGATATCATGACTTTTGATTGGACTAAAATTTATACCAGAATATTCAAAGAACAAGAAGCCATTTAAGACACCTGGCCATCAAGGCCCCATTGGTTTTTTGGTAAGTTACTTATCCCGGTAAATGCAATTATCTGGGTAAGATTTTCCTGGGAAACATTTACCTAGGTAAGTGCATTTATCCATGTTCTTTTATTTCTCAAGTAAATAAGGCAGTGACCATTTTATCCATAGAAATCTATTATTAAAAGGGGCATTTTTGTCCCATTCAAGTGTTGGTAACTTTCCCCCTATGTGGGAAAGTTATTTACCCACCTAGGAGATGGGTATTACTTTCCTGGGTAAGTGATACACAGGAAAACAAACTTTCCATGGTCCCCAAATTAATTTGAAAAATGAACATGAGATTCTTAGTCAATGGGAACCAAAATCCCATTGACCAACTTTCTCCCCCTCCAAATCCAAAAAAATAATGCCCCCTAAGTGTAAAACAGTTGACTTGCTAGCATAATTTAAAATTATTATTAAAATAAAGAAAAAGATTAACAACATAATAAAATAAGAAAGATGCTATTAATAATAATTACTATTTTATCAGTTATTTATTTAATTACAATTATTATCTAATTCTAATTAATATTTAAGTATTCTTATTCATTATTTAATTAATAATTTATAGATATGTTTTTAGTAGAATAATTAATTAATTGTTGCTTTAAATATTTAATCCTAATTATTTAGCTATCTAATTATATACTTATAAATAAAGTATTATTTAGAAATCATTATAATTTCATTTTCTTATCTTATTAATTATATATGTATTATTTAATTATTTAATTATCCATTAATGGCCATTTTATTATATTCTCAATTATTAATAATTATTATTTATTTATTCACTTTTTATTAAATATTATGTAATAAATATCTAATGATAATAATAATTATTATGCGTATAAATAATTATTATTAATTACTAATAATTAATAATAAATTCATTAATGATTATGTAATTATTTTTATTTTTTGATATTTTTATATTCATTAATTAAGCATGTAATTAGTTAATTAATTAATTAAATTATTAAATTCTCATTAATTGAAAAGAAATTATGTATTAATTTATAAATAATTAATAATCAATAATTAAATATTATTGATTATTAATAAATTAAATATATAATTAGTATTATTGTACATATTAAAATAATTAGTAGTATTGTACTACTTACAAGTTATGAACCTACTAAAATAATTATTAATTAATTAATGACATAGGTATGAATTATAGTCTCAACTTATCAATTACATAATTACAGAATTATGAGTTAAATTTTTTAGTTGAGTAATTGATTATTTTAAATATTAATTAATTTTTAAATGCTCAAATCTTTAAACATATTTAAATACTTATAATTTTTATAACTCAATATTTGGATTTCAGAACAACATTCTTTACATTTAATTTCAAAGGCATCCAATCCCCATTGACGTGGACAAGGCAAGGAAGAGGAGAGCACTCCCTTCCCCATGGGGTTGAATTTGGCCTTCCTTATTATAAGGGAAAAAACATAACTTTAACTATTACTTATATTAAATTCATTCAATTCACTCTTACTAAGTCCTATATTTATCCCCTCTTATTAAATCCTATGTTTACTATATATTAAATAAATGAGCTTTATATTTTTCTTGATTAAAACACCCTACTTTTCAATTTGGTCCTTTTCTAGTTTTGAGGGTAAAATATGTATTTTAAACTATATATAAACCATAGGTATTTAGGATTTTAATAAATGACCTTAAGGCTTTGAGGTCCAAAACTTGGGATTTATATGAAGTATTTTTGTTTTCTCTCATGAATTAGTGTTAATATTTTAAAAAATATGGTTGAATATGTAAGAATGTATTTGAATATATTTGGATATATTTTGATAGGATCATAAAATGTAATTATTTTATTTTTAATTTTTTGAATGAAACAAAAATAAAAGATAAAATGAATATGACATTATAAAAAATGGTGAGGACTGAGGATCCCTATCGGGATGGAGATGGGGAATGACCCCCAGTCCCCACCCTGCCCTGTTGCCATTCCTAGTTTCTTTTGACCGAAATTCTATTTTTTTTTCTTTTTGTTTCATAATTTGATAGGGATCTTATCACATCACCCATTAACGTCTCACAATTGAAATCAATTATTCTATTTTAGTTTATTGATGACCTTTGAAATCTGATACGTATCAATTGATACATTACGATATTTTGAACCTTGGATAAGAATATGTCATATTTGAATTTTATCAAATATTCGATGGATATGTAAATCATAAATCTGAATTTGATTCATTTACATTAATTAACATTGACCATAGGACAGGGCTTGGCACCTATAACAAGTAGGGATGTTAAATGGGTTGGGTTAAACGATAAACCCAACTTGACTTGGCCTTATAGGTTTGGGTTAGGGTCAGGCTTACTTGGCTGGTTTTGATAAATTCAACTTGAGTCGAGTTCAGGTTTTACTGATCTGGCCCACTGGTCATAATACCCCTACATATAATATAAAGGATATTCTTTGCAATTTGGTTTGAATTCTAAACTATAATCTTGATGTTTAGGGTTTTGTTTGGTTTTTCTTCTTTAACTATGGAGGAAGTGACACTCTCAAACCTATTAATCAAATTCCAATTTAAGGGTTGGCTTGGTTCATAGGATCTGGAATCAGAATTTGGTTAGGTGGAATCAAAATTCTCCCCCTCCCTTACGAATAAGAATCAACTCCAACTAATTCTGATTCCGGTTTTGATTTCATCTGAATCAGATGGGAGGAAGAGGCCATTCTGATTTCCAACTTTGATGGATTTTGATTCTGATCCCAATGTAAATTAAAAACGGACATTAAAATAATTACTCTTGGGTTTTCAAAATAATACTATAAAAAATACATTTCAAAAACTGTGGTTCAGGTTCGGCTCAAGTGCGATCATTGGAGGGTTGAGTTGGGTGGCCGGAAACTATACAGGTAACCGGTTCCATTTACCCCAAACCCGGTCCTTAGTAAAAAACCATTGAATTAGTCAATGATCCGTTGACTCAGGCGGTCGAACCGTTAACCCGCTCAACGGTTTTAGCCCTTCTTTATTCTAATTATTTTTTGAATTTTTTTGTTAGAATGGGCCATCCGTTTGAACCAGATGGTTAAACCATCGGTCTGAAAACTAGTGTCTAGAACGGTTCCGATTCTAGGTCATTTTTTAAAACATTGCAGTCAATTTAAAAGACGCATGATTCCTTTTATAATTTCAAAATGTTTCCCTACATATATTCAGATCTAAGGTCCCATTTGATTTGTGAGAATAGGAGTCTATAATGAGAATCCGAATGGGTCATTCTGATTCCAACTGTTTGGTTGGGGAGAATTGGAATTCCATTTTCATTCTTGGTGGAATGGCATTCCCTCATCTACAAAGGGAGTAGTCATTGCCTCCCCCAACCTTGGAAATTAAATCTCATTCCAGTTTATTTCAATTTCTATTTCGATTCCTTTCTGAACCAAACAAACTATAAGAATAGACCATTTCAATTCCAATTTTGAAGGATTTTGATTCCGATTCCAACTACAAACCAAACAGACCCTAAGTATCTATATGATTCAAAGAAAAACTATTAAGTAAATGCACCACTACCAAACCCTCTGGATTGTTTTATCTTGGAAATTCACATGTTTCCAATTTATTATAAGATGCAAATGTGATTTTAAGGTAAGTGATTTATGGTATTACTCAGCGCAACTATTCTTCCTTGTGTCAGTCTATTACTAGTCTAATGCTGCCTCTACAAAACAAATGAGATTCATTTTTTACTTTTTATTTTTACAAAATTTTTAATGTATTGATGCAATCTTCTTCTCCAAAAACAGAGACAAGCAAAGAAAAGAAAATTCCATGACGTGGAGAATATCTTTGGTCCATTAGAAAATATATGGGCCATACATTTGGGATTATGACGTGCTTAGACCTTTAATATAATTACATATTTACTCAAAAAACCTTTGATCGAATGTTTCCCTCAAATTCTGCCATAAGTTTACATGATAGGAATTATTTCCACTGATTATTTGCTTCTGTACGTAACAATCCCAATCCCAATCCCAACTAATTAAGGACAGACAAAAGTTAGAAGGCAAATTATGGAAGAAGAGAAGATGTAATACAGTCGTCCCCTTCCATAGAGCTGTGCGCTTCTTCTTTTGATTTTGACCATAAATATATGTAGAGCCCCAGAACTATCACGATTGATCCAATAACACTGCAAAAAAAAAAAAAAAGGTTAAAGTTTTAAATATGTTAAACTGTTTTGTATCCTCATATATGTGCCTATTCTTGGCAAAGATTTCTAGGTATGAATGTGATTGGAAACAAAATGAGCTAAAGGTCTCTGGACATGGGAAAGCAAGCATTGTACGTAATTGCACTAAAAAAGTGTTTCAAATTGTAGTTGGGTCAGTTTGGGAAGATTGCAAATGTAAATATATACAATGCAAATACAAGATTTAGTAATATTATATATAAGATTTTGCAATATTGTATGTATTTGTATTTGTACTCTTTTCGAAGTTTGTTTGCCGTGAACGTATAAGAGGGCAAATAGGCTGGGTGTAAACTCTGGTATACTTTTGCCTTAGACTTGATTTTGTTTCATTTGTTTGTGAGAACAAAAAAATATGTGTTGTTTGGGAGTGAAGTAAGAAGCAGGATGATGCAGTCCCCATTTTATGTGAGAGAGAATTGATAGAAGGAAGGATGTGGTGCAAATGAGACAAAATCTGCACTGTTGCTAGTGATAAAAAGTATACATTTTATATTAGATAGAAATGCAAACCATAAATATAAACAAACGGATGCAAAACTGAATCGGTGCAAAATTTCTATCTGATTCAGATTTGCAGTACTGCATAAGCACCTATATACTAGAGGAAGAAGGCATAAACAGAATCTATGTATGACTGGCTAAGGGTGTAGATGAGAAGTCAAGCTTAACAATAACCTGAGGTAGTCCTACTTTGGTCTGCCCATGGTTTCAACTTGTAGCTCTGTGTAAATGCTAACAAAATAGGGTTGATTCTGGTCTTCAAATTTACTATTTCAGATGGACCAAGAGACACTGTGTCTGAGACCTCAACGAAAATGCCTGAATTAAAGAACAAAATAAAGAGTACCCAAAACAAAAGTACTTCCCAAACATGGAGTTGAATGTTCGAGTTAAAGAAAAGGGAAATTACCTTCCAAGGTACAAAGTGGACCCCAAAATTTTCTCCATGATAGCTGCGAAAACGAAGGTTAGCGGTGTAAATGCAGCAACAAAAATTGGTCCCTTGATAGACGTTGCCCATGTTAACAAGGCGCAACTCAGCCCGCTGTTTAAAACTCCCTGTATCACGTACAATCAAATAAACCATATTCTGGTCACCACTTAAATGAATATTTTAGTTTGCTGATGTACACTGGAACTTGATCTCAATGCACGTAAAGCCTAAGTGCCTGATATTTGATTGCTTCAGCATATGCCCTGAATTTGCTACATCTGGGTCCAGTGCAATCAAATGGACGCAGGTGTTTTAAGGCTCATTTGGGAGGGCTTAGTTTTATAATTAGTGCCTCATTGGGAGGGCTCAAGTGCAGTATAACTTATTGCTGGACAGCTATGTTTGGTGAAAAATCCAGGGGCCGAGGTGGCTGTCGGTCAGCCAGTTGAAGGGCTGTCCGGTTTTATTATTTCTCTAACTTCTTTGGAAGTTAAGCCACTTGTCAATAAGCATGGATTATGTCATTTATGCAGCTGAACCAGCCTAATTGAACCAAAGCTTTATTTTCAGCACTCAGGCCCCATATAGGCCCGTATTTAGGATTATCAATAGACTGGTTTTGGGGTTGGACCCCGCCCAAATTGATTTTGCTTTAGATGGATTAAATGGACTAATAAGACATATTGAATTGGACCAGTCCGGTTCAAAGTATTTATTGGATTGGATTGGACTTGGTTCATCTGTAAGGGATTTATATATATTGAGTTGATTTGGATTGAGCCAATCATATCCGGTCCATTGATAGAAGATAAAAATACAGATGTTGATGGACAAAGTTTAGGTTGGAATCAATCTAAATTAAGATCAATTTGAAAAGATCGAGTGGTCCAGACATTGAATTGGATTAGACTGCTCCAAAATGATCCTGAATATTCACTGGATTGGATTGGACGTGGACCATTTGTAATGGTCTCATATTGGACTGAATCAGATTGGACTAAAATTGGCCCAATTGACACCCTACCGGTACTTTCTTTGGTTCAGTTGATTTTAACAAGCTACCAAAAGAGGCTTGTCCCGATAGCTGCCTAAATGACTGTATGACTGTAGGAAGACAATTTGTTCTCAATCACAAATATATTTTTATTTGGAATAAATAGACTGCAGTATATCTCAGAAATCTGAAATTACAGTCTCCTCCTATTCTACTAATAGCTCTATATAAACAGCATCCTGCTTGTGAATTTATCATCAATCTACGGTCATGATTCATCCACCTCTACGGTGGAGTTAAGATTTCTGAGGTGAAGTGAACTATAAAAAAACCCTTTGGTTTGACGGAAAATAAGAAAAATATAAAAGGTTGAGAGAAAATTAAGGAATTTCACAAACCAAACAAGGCTTTAAGGATTTCTATGGATGTGCTACGTTGCTAGCCCAAGCTTCCGTAGTGTTTTACATCAATCTCAAAAGTCAAAAATGTGAATGGAATCTTTTCAAGTTCACATCTTAATTATAGAAGCTATACACTATGGCAAGAAGAGGCTGAACAAACTGTATCAAAATCTTAGTAACCACATGGGAAGGAAATCACGTGACCCATTTGTTCAAATTAATCAACTCTATAACTACGAAGTTTTTTAGTCATGGATTAAATCTTCTAATGTAGAATAATTGGCAAAGATTTTTTTTCTTTGTTCTTATTTTTGTTTTTCTATTTTGAAACTTTTCGTCTATGAGTCAGACTGATTTTTCTTCGAAGGTAGGTCTGACTGACAGATAGATAGACAGATGTAAGTAAAAATTTGGAATGACCATTAGAAAAAAAAAAAAACGGAGCAAATGTACGAGGACAATCATGCTTTGTAGTCAGTCAAGGTGTCGATGTAGGTAACAGACTTGTAATATATGTCCCAATTAATGTTTTTCATCCAAATGTTTTTATTATCTTTATCAAAATAATTAAAAATAAAAAATAATGAAAAAGGAAAATGTAAATGAGTTTCAACTTCCAATATGTTTAGGTTTTCATTATTTTGACAAAAATAATAAAATAATGGATAATTTCTGTTTAATGAAACAAAAACGTTTGAATGAACATGTATCACACAGTTATTACGTATTCACTCATTATACTTACCTAACATATCTAGATCCAATCAGCCTTTTTTGTTCAAAATATGGTTAAAACTAGTTATCAACTCGGAAATATCATACTTACTCCAAAGACTATGCTTAAGAGCTCTAAATCCCATTTCAGCTTCCAATCTGATGCTTCACGGCTTAGAATTGAAGCCACTACACTTGTTTGTAATGTTCCAAAGAAGAACATGATTGCAGTCAACGAGAACTCAGCTGGATATATTTCCAAAATGGGCCTCTGCAAATGCAAGCTACCATCACACACACAAAGAGAGAGAGAGAGGAGTTCTACTGTTCTACTTTAATTAGCTGGTGTATTAAAGACTCACCAACATCGAAATCCATGCACTGTAGGAAAGGATGCCAAAAACAGCCATAAAGAAGCCAAGCAACCAATTACCCAAAGCTGAAGTAAGAAAAGAAACAGATGATCCACGCCATAGCATGAGGGTGAGTGCCCCAGAAACAGATAAAAGGGTTCCAAATATCTTGCCTCTACCCCACCATCTGTTGAGTTCAAGTGCTTCTTGCCTTGAGATTACAGACAAGATGTATGTGAACACAGGTACCAAGTTGAAAACTGAAGCTTCTATTGTGCTGGATATGAAGTTTAAGCATCCCACTAGAAGGTTTTGTGGAATTGTTATCCTAGATAGTACAAAGAGAATGAGTTCTAGGAAATTAGAAAATTAAAGAATAACCTTTCTAGGAAAACTAACTTGAAGAAATTTGTCTTCTAATTACACTCTAACTACAACATAATGAACAAGTATTATTCATCCACATTCTTCCATAAATGTCCTTAACTTTTAATTGTGAAGAATCAATTTCTATATGTCCTTAACTTTTAATTGTGAAGAAATTTGTCTTCTAATTTCACTCTAACTCCACCTTTTTTCTCTCTGTGATTCTCTTCTCAACTGTTTATTGGATCTTTCTTTTTTGGTGAGAAAAATGTTATTTGATCTGTTCTGACAAAATTTTCAAGAATTTGAGAAAAACTTTTCTTAAACTATTGACAAGAGACCAAGGGTATCATATATCTTCATTAATTCGTTGCACGCTCCCTACCTTAGGCTGCCATTTGGGATCAGGCCTGGGAGGGCGACACCCCAATTTAGGGCTGGTTTGGGAGTGCTGAAGCTTTTGTCTAACTACTTTTAATGAGAGAAGCTACTAAAGGAAGTTCCAATAGAAAAACCATCGTTTTGGCTAGAAAGGAGCAAATTTCGACTTTCTTGTATTTTCGCCCGACATTGCTTATAGATTCTTCACGTGGGGTCTACCTTGCAAAGCCAAAAGACATAGGAAAGCCTTCCCGAATGGGTTTCTTAGGATCTGCTTGTTTACCGAGAAAGGGATGATAATAAGGAATATTCCCGAATGATTTTCCTTTTACCTTGTTTGTTTGTTTGTATACAGCGTTTTGGATGAGAAACAAGAGAGGTGTGGGATCCCAAAATAAAGTGAGCGGGATTGCACCAAAACAGTGCGACCCCGGTGGGTAAAGAAAAAGCTAAGAAAATTTGTCAGGCTTTGTCAGAGCAAGAAATCGACTGTCTCATCTCCCTTGGAAGTAACAATCTAATGATTGAATCTTCGGCAGCTACTCTGACCATCTCTCTGAAAGGTAACACAAGATCCACAAATAGCTCTCTCTAGCGATTCTATTCTACCCTTTATTGTTTTTTTTTTTTTTCAGTTCATAATTCTTTCTTCCCCAACCCCATGTTTTTCCCCTTAATGGCTGGAAGCTCAGTCATTCTTTTTATTGTCTCCAGCAAAGGTTTTGACGAAATGAAACACCACTCTCCAAGAGCATGCATTTATGTCCAAATCTGACATTTTAACCTCATTTGTGTAAGTCACTGAGAGTGTGAGGTTCTAAACTTCGAATTCAGTAGATTTTCTTTCTTTCATTACTCACTCTTTTTCTCTCTCATTTTTCTGAGAAATAAAGTGCTAAAAAATGACATTGGGAGGGATGAAGCTTTGGTTGACTTGTTTTCATTGAGCTGCTTTATAGAAAGCATACTATATACTAATTAATGAACATGGAAAGCCGTTAATCTAGCTTTCGATCAATGGCTGTTTTTGGTTTTTCACCAGAGGGTACTGCTGGTAGAATTCACAGCTCAAACAAACTACAAGCAATGTTGCCGACGCCTATATCTTCCTCACAATTCTAGACTCCATAGCTGACTAGGTGATGGGTTTAACGGTTTCTGTCTGATTTGATTGTTCCGACTTAATTAAACAAAAAATAATAAAAAAAGCACATGGTATATTACATTTTAAAACCTCGACCTTTGTATATATCGGAATAATCGTATTGTACATTTTTGACAAGTGCAATGCCCAGCTAAAAACTGTTTTCACTTCCTGGCGGTTCTCAATTCTGATGGTCTGAGAGAGAGAGAGAGAGAGAGTTACCCCGCAAAAGCAAGTAAGAAAATCCACATTGCAATTGATTTTGTAAAGGGAGGTCTAGTCCTTCTGAAATGATCAACATCTTGTTAATTAGATCAGTGAAACTTCAATTCAAAAACTAATTAAATTCTCTACTCAATTAACTGCATTTACCTTTCAAGGAAAAATGCCAAGACTGCCATGAAAACGGTGGCTAATATGAATTGATAGACAAGATATACACTGGAGCTTATTCCATCTACCACAATAACCTTGCTTAAGACGATATAACCTGCAGCTATTAGCTGAACAAAGATCATAATAGCATGTGGACCTATCTTTGTGGCACAATTCTTCAGAGACGAAGTCAACATCTTTGCTCACTCTTCTAACTCCACAAGCGGGGAGTTCAAGAGCTAGTGATGGTTTTTTAGTTCCTACAATTAATTCTTCATCACTCACCATACTGCGGGGGTGAAGAACTAGCAAACGGTAGTTTATATTGTTCATGGCAGCTAGGAATGGCCGTTAGGTATTCTGATTTTCTATTTTGACCGTTAGGTTCTTCCTCTTTCCACAAGAATGCTTTGGTTTACACACGGTTTGAAGTTTGAACAGCCAACCGTCCAACATTGATTAGAGGCATTCCGGATCCAGTGCGTAAAATCCCTTCGAGTCCACTAATCCAATGCTCCACTGGCCATTACCTACGACCCGTTGAAGCTTTATATATAAATGATAAATAAAAATAAAAAAATTGTTAATAAAAGGCTAATACTGACAAAATTCTAAAACATTCTGTTATCAGACTCAGGCTTTGCTCCCCTGACCCAACCATTAACCTTTCGTTGTTATACAATTTTAACGGCAACTTCAATGGTGTTCTTCCCATCTTCCTTCTCTACTTTTGTTTGTTTAATTATAGAAATCAGAGTTTTTTATTTGAATTCAATGTATTATTGAGTGATGTTCCACCGATATATATAGAGTTGATACAGAGGATAAGGATAACAGGGGATAAATACAGTAATTAAGTAGAGATAAGAATAGGATAAATACAAGGATAACAGGGGATAAATACAAGGTGTACTCCACGTTGGTCAACATTAATCAACAAAACCTCATCACCACCTTTTTCAATTCATCCATTACCCATTTTAATCACAGAAAGATCAATCCTCATATGCCGCAAATATCTCCGGCACCGATACCAGCTCCAGCCATGAATCTGATCCAAGAATTCTTTATTGGGTCTCCCGTGCCATCCTTCGAATTGTTGATGATTTATGTTATTATAGTATTTAGGAGTTTGTTTCAGTTTGTTATTCACGTATTGTTTTACTTATTCTTTAGGATTTAGTTGTTGCAGATAGTGGCTAGGTTGTTATTGGTTAGTGGTTTCATGTGATGCTATTTTTTTTTTTAAGTCTGTTGGTTGTATAGTCTATATATTGGCTGTTTCGTTGATGAATCGATAAGGAGTGCAGTCAAGTATTTCTTTTATACTTCAGTCTTCATATTTATGTATTTATGCCTCTGATGTTAACACGAATTTAGTCCTACTACTTTAACTAACATTCGCATTAAAGTGAGTCAGTTCAAGCTTGTTTAATTCAAAATGTTTTCTTTTTTTTTTTTCTTTTTCAATATTGGTTTTTGTTCAATTTGGTTTTCTTCTTGCTTTCAATTATATGCAGAAGTATAGCTAGGACAAGATAGAAAAGGCCTTTTGAGAGTTCGGGTAGCAGTTCTTGTTGGTAGAGTGGCCATAGGCCCTCATTTAATCTTCAACATGTTGGAATATCCAATGGCCATGTAACAAGCCACATGTTGATGGAAGATTATTATTTTATGGTTATCTCCATGCATGGGGATGCCAATATTGTTGAATTATTCTGGATCAAAATTCCAGCTCTTATTGGGTCAATGGATATCCATTTGACCTAATCTAGACTGGATGATCATGTATGAGACATTTGTCTCAATCTGGAGAGGCCTTAACTTGGTCTTCCCTCTAATCTTACAAGTTGGGTTAAATTCCCTCCTCAAAACAAAGAAGGGAAAGACCTATATATATATATATATATATATATATGGCTATCACAAAGATAGCAAAAATGTGTGCAAATCAAGATAATTTGGAATGTCAAGCAATCTCTAAATTTTGGCCCCATCCAGATTTGACAGTTCTCTCTTGCATTTTGTTTGAGAGATAGGTGTCTTGGATTCTACATTGTGCAGCTACTCTTTTTCTCCTTGTATGCAGGTTTGGTATGCCAAGATCTCAGCCATCCATTTTTGCACCTACTCGGTGCTTCAGTTCTTCGGGCTGTCCATTCACGTTACTACACAACTCTCACAGAAGATGAATTCATCCCCAGAAGACCCATATGCAGAAACCCATTTGCGTTTCACCAGTTAAGATCAAGAAAATTATGTATTATTTCCGTTTGAGTCTTCACTCTCTCTCTCTCTCTACAAATCAGGAAGTAGAATGTAGATCTATCATTCTGGCCGGATCGTTGCATGTTTCCTTTGAACGCCATTCTGTTTCAGTTTGAACTTTGAACACCATTGATGAGGATTAATGGTTGGGCTGGGGGGAGCAGGTTTGAGTCTGAGAACGAGAACATGAGGCGGTGAGGGATTTAAAATTTTCTGTCGGTATTAGCTTTTGTTATCAGTCATAAAATTTCAATCGGTAGTAGGTGATGATCACTTGAACAATGAATAACGTGGCAAAGTTTTAATAGACTCAAAGAGAAGATTCCTTTGAGTCTAAACGCACTAGATCCGAAGTGGATTAGAGGGCTGTAAACGGGTCAGGTTTAGATAGAATCAATTCTAAACAGATTATTAATGGGATAAAATCATAGTCTTGGAACCATCCCAGTTAATAGTTGGGTCTATTGGGTCCATACCTGATTGACCCGATTATAATAACTTAAAATTTAAATTTTGATAATATAACTTTAATAAAATTGAAAAAATATTAAATTATTTATATAATAAATTAAATATTTTTAACTAATATTATCCGTCCATTTTACCATTTCAAATATAAAATATGATAAAAGTCATAAAAAGTAGAAAATAATATAAATTTAATAAATAATCAATATCAAGTTTAAATCGAAATTGACTTAATTATTAATTAAGACAAAATCATAGAACTAGAACCATTATTCGATCGATTCAAATCCATTAGATAGACCCAACCAGGGGCAGAGTCAAGTATATTGGTGAGGGTCCATGGCCCCTGGTTGAGGGGCCGAGTTGCTTGAATTTCACAAGCAATAAAACTAACGAAACTGTTTTTGTGATGCCACAGATTCAGGGCGTCACAAGTAAATACTGCAACTACAATCACAACTAATATGCCCTCTAGCTCTGATTAATTTACCCAAACAGTCTACCTTCTTTGCCAAAAAGGAAGAATATGTGGTTGGACAAACATTCAATGCTTGGTTAGTATAATTGAACATCTTCATTTCGATATAGTTATCTACTTTTGTTAATAATTATAATTTTAATATAAATATTTCTACTGTATATAAATAATTGAAATGAAGATAGATATAGATAAAGCGAATGAATTTTAAACAAATTAATGGAGTTAATAACATAATTAATAAAGAGAAATAATTAAAAAAAGGTGAATTTCTTATTGATTAACTGTATCCTTATTATTTAAAAATTAATTAACTGTATTCTTACTGTTATAATTGACTAAATGTACTCATAACCGTTAAATATGGATGGAAAAGGTAAAATGCCAGTTATACTCCAATGCAAAATTACATGTTTATCCCTATTTTTCACTTAACTCAGTCCCACTCAGAAGGCTGCCATCGTCACCGACGGCGGTCGCTACAAATACCGAACGGCGGAGGTCTGGCGGAAGTCGACTCCAGCCGACGACGAATGCCGCTGGAACCATCACGGACTTCCACCGGAGGTCGGTGAGTTTTTTGCTCCTCTATTCTTTCTTTCAAAGTCGTTTCTTCCTTTATATCTAATCTCTCCTTCTCGTCCACCAAACCACAACCAAAGCAAAAGAAACGTATGGCAATGGCGATTGTTGAGAGAGGGATTCCTTGTCGAATCTGTTCCTCTCCCGTCTTCCCCTTTTCACTGCCCTACAGAAACGAATTAATAAATGGCACCCAGATTTTATCATAGCTCCAGGCTTCCAATTTTAGATCTGGTAGAGCAAAGAAGAAAAGGAGCTAAAGAAACGTACGGCAATGGCGATTGTTGAGAGAGGGATTCCTTGTTGAATCTGTTCCTCTCCCGTCCTCCCCTCTTCACTGCCCTACAGAAACGAATTAATAAATGGCACCCAGATTTTGTCATAGCTCCAGGCTTCGAGTTTCAGATCTGGTAGAGCGAAAAAGAAAGGAGCTCTTCTTTAACCAATCCTCGCTTAGTTTTCCCAGTTTTTTTTCGATTCTTAAGCTATACAATTTCTTTCAGATCGAATCTATAAACCCAGTCGATCAGATCAGAAGCTCAATCGGAAAATAGGGTTGTCGATTTTTTTTAGTTTTAGCAGGTTCGTTTTATTATATCACAAGAGTGTGTTTGCTTCGGTCTGATTTTTGGTTTTTCGGGAGAGACGAACTTGTGGTGTCTCCGGGCCCTGGGAAGTAAAAATCTTACTGTGATGATCTTTCTTGCTGGATCTCTTCCGCAGTATCTGCCTCTCAGGGGAGTTGCGACCAGCGTTGTTGTTTGTGTTCGAGGCATTGACATTGTCGATCGGTTTGTTGTTGACATTATGGTTGTCGTACTTGTGGGTGGCTACGGTGGCAATCACAGGATCAGCTACGATGGTGTTGGGACAAAAAGGCAGCTCGTAGTGGCGTTGAAAAAACATGCCACCATCGTTGCCATCGTCTTGGATGTTGCTGCAACAGTTAATAAAGAAAGGAGGAAAGTTGAACAAAGATGAGGGAGTAGTCTCCTGTTTGGAGTTAAAAGTCACCGGTCAAGTTTCTCCACTCCCCCAACATGGCATGGTCGGTGAACGAGACGGCGTTACCAGTAACACTGTTGAAGGAAGCAGGAAACATCTGCACCTCCTCCAGTTTGTACGGACGAACGTGGCTAAGGATCGATTTCTCTGTTTCAAGTTGATTAATCCTATAAAACAAAGCCACTTGGATGTGGCATCTCATGCACCATAATCCATTGCATAGAGAGTGCCTTCTCCCCTCTCTGCCGAGTTAACTTTCGGTATTTGCAGCAACCGCCGTCGGTGACGATGGTGATGGATTGAGTTAAGTTTAAAACAGGGATAAAAATGTAATTTTATATAAGGGTTTAATGGGCAATTTACCTTATATAAAATTAACTAAACCATAAGGATAGAGTTAGTCAATTAACTCTATCCTTATGGTTAATTTTCAAACAATAAGGATAGAGTTAGTCAATTAACTAAACCATAAAGATAATTTAAGAAATTTAG